CGAATATGTGGCTATCTTAAAAATGAGCACGTATTTCTTATTTCTCTGCAAACGTAACTTTCAATCGAGCACTCATCTCAGGATGAGGCTGATGCAATCAACTTTTCCTCCGGCATCATTCATGATTTTTTAGCACTTCTTTCTCGTGTTGAAGAAATGCAGGAATGTCATACTTGTTCTTCTCAAAAACTTTACCAGAGTCCAATCAGAGCGGAACTGATTACAACTTGAATAAGAACGTTCTAGAATTAATCCAGAATATTTCTCAACTATCCGACAAATGGGTTATTAAAGGTTAGAGTAGTTCTCGGCTAAATTTCTGTCTCTTGAGAAGTTTAGCTTTTAAATACTGTGCCTTCTATACACCGTAATTTTAATGTGTGTACAGCACTTACAGAACGTGGAAACGTGTGTATGCTGTGTAGTAATGCACTGAAGTACAGTTTCACGAAAAAATAAACCAGTGTTTCGAGTTAAAAGAAATTCAGCTACACTTGACTTGGAGCCCAGAATTATGCCAGGGTAAAAGGTGGCATTAATCGACAGAAAGCACCACAGAAAATGACAAAAATGTAATATCTCGATCATTGAACACATTCTGCCGAATTTTATCAGCCATGAATTTTTCATTCAAATAAAATCACACGAAGATTCATAGGGATGACGGTGGTTCAGTACCATGTCAGAATTTATTAGGCATTCATAGCCTAGGAAAATGATACAGAATATTCATTATTGCTGCAGCAGAGATTGGCTGCGCTTCATTTAAATTTGGTACAAATTAATTTTTGAAACAAATTCCAGCACTTGCATCATGATTGCGGATAAAGTCATTCAGTATTAATGCAGGAAAAATGTTCTCGCATTCGAAACTGTCCAAATGAACGCATTGCTCTGGGAGGACTATCTAGCACCACCCCGAAGGAAACAGCTGATTTTTTCAGCCCGCGTTTCAACCACATAAAAACAGACCTGAGCACCGAATACGAATTCGGGACGCCCTTATTTTCCAAATCGATTTGAAATATGAAATTGAAAAAAATAAAATTTGCAGAATTGACAACTCACGAACCCTCACGTGTCCACCGGTAGTAAGTAAGACGCATGAGTAGTAAACTTTCAGCATGTCTCTATGTAGTCTATGGGAACACGCAAGTACAGCGAAAATATCGGACAAAACCACAACGGAATCGCGGGAAAAAATTAAGTCCTCTCGCAATAAAGACACCAATTTAAGGCAAAAATTAATTTTATGCCACAGCAAAAATCACAAGACGAGACGATCGTTGAATGATGAGGCATTTCGTGACATGGAAGGTGTAAGTACTGTACAGTGCATGAAGAGCTGCGTTCAACAACTCGGAAAAAATGTCTATTCATACGTGTACGGTATTCATCAATTTGAAGCGACTCCCTCTCTCCAATTTCAGCGGTATAGCCAAAAGCGAAGATGCTGGCAACTTGCCGGGAAAACTGCGCAGTAATTATCCTCTCCAATGGCATCTTTCCATCAAAATGGAAAATTCCTCTCTTTCTCGGCCTCATGTTCGTGTTGTTATTTTTCGCAGTGAAGACGAGAGGAATATTATTTTCTTAATTCAATTCAAAAGACGTCGGAAAAGTGGATACATGACGCACACGTGTCATCTTATTACAGTAGAACTAGCAGAGTAGAGAACATTACTGCACAATACTGCACATGACTTCCAATAGTTTTCAGAGGCTTCCGCTCAGGAACCCACACGCACAGTGGAACTGCGCAGTGGAAAAGGTTCCAAGTTTCAGGGTAAGTTGTTCTTTGTTCTATAGTTCTATACAATACTGTATTACAATTCCTCGGGTCTTTAAAAGCAAGATCCCCAAGAAGCTTCAAACTGAAAAATAAATAATAAAGCATTCAGTACGACAATAACGCGAGAAAAGTCGCGTGTCTTAGTGAATCAATGTGATGAAGAATAAAATTCAAACATTTGCACAGCTACATTACTGTATATGCCGCGTGATTTAATGATCTCGAGCTTTCAATTCGAAACGTCGGATATATGAGGGTTTCCTTTTCATATTTCTTCATGAACAAGTGTCCTGGCTTTCAATACAAACGTGAAGACGAAACTCACCAATTATCAGCACTGTCCATCATTTTTGGAAACCATTCGACAGCCGAAGAACATTCATATTATTCTTTGATTGTATCGAGCAGCTCTCAGAATTGTCATTGTTTTAAAACTTTGCGGTAAGATTGAATTGAAAGAAACAAAATTGCAATAAACAAAAGATGAACAGTATCATCAGCGAATTGAACAGAAACAAACATTACAGAAGACTTCCAGGAAACGGCTATAGAAGAAAATAAAACAGGAAAATGCAGGAGAGAAAAAACTACTTGTGAAAAATTCCTCCAATAAAAATGGAACAGCACAACAAATGTTGACACGACGTAAATAAGACCCCAAGATGTAAAATAACCCTACTCTAATAAATTTGCCACGTAACACAAACTTCTTTTTGTCGAAATCTACAGAATTTGATTCCATAGTCAACATAATTTTTGATTGTACATTTGATTGTCGCTTTTTATTACCATGGCTCTGCATCCCATAAATTAGACAATTATCGTGATTAAAAAACCAATATATGATCTTCGTTTGAAAGGGCGGTTATTCGAATCCTTTGAATTTAACATCTCAATTAACAATATTCAACGTTTATAAATTAGCCACGCTTTGATCAAGCGACAATTTATCTATCGTGACATTTTTCTCTTGATGCCCTCGTAAGAAAACCAAAGCAAAAGAATCAAATAAAACGCTTCTTTGAACCAGACGTACTTCGAAACAAAGGAACAAGTTATCTTGGCCACGGAACAAGAGGACGAAGAGAACTACACCACCGTCAGTTCAACGACCCCTGTATGAGGTCCGTTTCATAATGTACCGAGGGACAGAGGCATTAAAAACAATATTAACTTGAAATACGTCAACAATAACACCCTCAGTCAAATAGGATGCATGAAATTCCGTTAACTTCTAAATCTAAAACAACTCAAGATCATAGCACTTTTGAAAAACGACTTCTTCTATAATCGGAAGAAGAATCTCGCAAAAACGATGAATTGTTCAGAAGATTTAGCGCCATCAAAATAGGTTACGTGTACCTTAATTTCAAAGGAAGAATCTTCTAAACCACCCTGGGTTCTACAAAAATTTGAAAAATACTTGATTTCGACAAAACAATATGATTCAAGGGATTTAAAAAATAAATTTAGAGAAGTTCGCTGTGTCTACCCATATATAAGAATTCTCAATTTCTCAATAATTTCTCGAGCACGACTGTTCCTTATTTCATAAAGACGGGATACGCTTTCAACATTCATCATCACTTATGCAAACATTGAAAAGATCAGAGCAAACTCAACTTGCAATTTGGAATAAGATTAGCGAAGCTGTACTTCTTGCAGCCCAGACAATTTTTGAAATACTGCATTGCAAACATTTAGTACCATTTTTACTGCTCGCATATTCGTAAAACATTCACGTGTGACAAGAAAATTTATTTTTTCAGTGATGAGGTGCATTAAAAACTGGGTTATTTTCCTTCAGACCTCGGAGACCAAAAAATTGTTTCAGTGGCAAGGTTATGATGCATTTTAATCTGCAAAAATTGAGTAATTCATCCATCTAAAAAAGAGAACAGCAGGAAGACTGACAACACTTACGGGACAACCCTCGGAAATTTATAATTATAAATGTAATCCAATATAGAAAAAGAAAAAGCACTCGACGGGAAATTAGCCAGGGAACAATCACACATGCCATAGCGAAACCGTCAAACCCGTAGTCACAAGCCATCTGAGAACCACAAATATAATTGGAATCATTTATAAGCTCCATAAATACGTGATATTGACAATTTCAATCTCTTTTTGGACTTCGGTCCGCCCTTATCTAGCGTGTAGACGATAAGGCCGCTGCACAACGAGAAAATCACTTCCGAGTTCAACGATTGTCAAAGGAAAAAGGAAGAACAAGGTTCACTTCTAGTTCGCAGGAACACAAGTAATATTTACGCCGTTGAACAGTATTCATAACTACGCCTTAATTCGGCATGCGTACATCATGCGAAAGAATCAAGCGAAGGTTACCAAGTTGCGCGAGCACAAAAAATATTCCAGAAACATCATGGAATCATGGAAATACCACGGGAATCCTTCTCTGTGATTCAGAACTCACTTCCAATCCAAACACGCAGAACAAATACTAGAAATACTGTACAATACTGCGAAATACTGTACAGCACAATCGAGGCACTCTTTTTTGAGTATAGCGGATGAAAATTCTCAACATCAACCACGCGATTAAAAAGTATTTTTCAATGCGACGAGCTATTTCATTAGATTAATCTTTTATCGTTTGAATGGAGAGTTCAAAATCAAATTTTAGCAGCAACAATTTTTAACGTTCAGCATGAAGTTTTTTAGTATTTTATTTACCTTTTTTCCTCAATAAGACAAAATCGAGAGGTATTGACAATTTTAAGTCAAGGGTTATGAAGAAAAATATTCCATGTAGGGGAACTTTTTTAAATGATTTTTTTCCCGCAGCTACCAAAAAATACACACACGGCTTCATCATAGAGGAAAAGGGAACTCGAAAATTCAACAGTGAAATTTCCTAAACGATTTTTGCCACAAATAAAATAAAAATGCGGAAGAATGAAATGTGACTCAAATGCCTTTTGAATGATTCTTAATGCTGAAGTTCCAGCGGCATGCTGAGTATGAAAATCACCTATCTGATTTCGACAGAACGACGGGAAAGTTGTGCGCAATCGTACAATAATTGAATGAGCTTCTCCAAAAAATATATTTTGGGGTCTCTTGCCTGACTTGCAGGCCTTTCTACTGATCCGAAAGAATTCAGTAATATTTGCATGTTTTATAAATTTTTAAATAAAAAACGGTTCTGAAGATCGAAAGAAAAAAATTCATAAATAAAACGTACCTGTAACCCAAGTGGAAGTCCTTCAGCAGACAACCCTATCGGGATTTGCGTCACGGGGAAATCCAAGACGTTGAAAATCGCACTGTACGCGAATGCTGTCCACGAAAAATTCGTCTGGCCATGAAAAGGAACCTTGAACGGATACGTCGGGTACATGAGGAATCCTTTCGAACCGATCAACGCCTGTGAATAATGAAGATAAAATAACGTTTTAATGCGGGTTTAAACAGATAAAATATTGAAAATGGATGCACTTTTCTGGGTTTGCCCATTTCCTTGCGTTATCACATTTTTCACTCATTTCAAGGAAATTATGCAATAGAGACGAAATCGATAAAAAATAGTGGACAAGGGAATTACCTATGACAACTTCCATCCATAAGTGATTTGAATTCGTCGAGAAAAATTTACAATGAGGCCTCAGTGTTATCAAAAAATTAGTGAAAATATTTTCAAGAAAAAAATGCTGCAATTCTTGCATCAGAGTAATCGAAAAATGTGTTCAAATCGGTGTAACATATTTTTTAATAGTGTTGTGAGAAAAAGCAAAATTGATCATAACTTTTTTCGGCAAAAGGTGATAACTACATGGAAATCTGACAACCTGCACATCTTCGGTCTACCTTCTTCTGCAGTTCGGAGTTCATTCATATCAAAATTTATATTTTAAAAAAAACGAAAAAATTGCAATGCGTTTATAAATGACACAACTGACCGTGAGATCACGTCTCAGGTCTTGCACAGCTTGTCGCAGCTGTTCTCGGTGAGACTTGTCCTTGGTTTCGCGAAATCGGTCTTCCACGATGGCAGACAAGATGACTGCATACGAGTGATCACTCACACCAGCAAGTTTTTTCCCCAACTCCAAATATATATCTTTCCGACACTTCATTGGCACATGCGGAAATGAATGAAAAAAGTATATATTTTTCAATACTGTAAAATTAAGACAGCTAACTTACGCGGTATAACCTATGAAAATACCGCGTTCACGCGAATATATATGAACATCCCTTTTCGGGTTTTGGAAGCTCAAAATAAACAAAAACTAGAGGGGTGCTTATAAATTAGTTGCGTAGATTTATACGCAATATGTATATTCGCGATATGTGGTATATATATTCGCGATATGTGGCTATTTCAGGAAATATTACTTTCCTCTTCCGGAGAAAACCTAAAGTTCGTCAGAAATTTTGGGTTCTCAAATTCTCTTATTATGATGGAATCTTAATTTTATGCACGAAAAATCTAAGGGTTGCTTAGATTCGCGAAAATTTAACGAATCAGATAGCTTCATCAAAGAAAAACTTGGTAAATGTTTAAAGAATAGCATATAACACTCACTGTGCGATCGGTAAGTTCCTCACTGACAGGCACGGATTCAGCAGAAACGAGCGATTCCATCACCATTTCAAAAGCACCGGACATGGCAGGGATTCTTGCCTGCAATCGATTTCATTTTGATAGAAAAAGAAGATGCGAATATGAGGAAGTGACGATAAGTGGAAAATTCAACTGCAAAAATAAATCCAATGCTGATCATGTAAAACCTTCTTCGTGATGTCGAATACCGCAGAGCATCGGATAAGTGTCGTGATTAGTCACCACAACAAATCGATAAGCTACGGTTTTCTCAAGTTTACAACAGAGATAATAATTTATATTGATTCATAAAATTAGAAACACGTTTTCAACGAATGACACGCACCTGTTTCACCTTCATCTTAAGAATGCAGACTAGATGTTTGATCACGTGGTCCATTGCGTTTGAAAGATCATTCTCCACTGCTGGGGCTCCAAATTTCCCGTCATTCCCATCACTCAGCATATAAAACGCCGTTATTTCAGACAGCTTAACCTAGTAACCGATAAAAACATAATCGAACGTTACCTTAATTCGTCTAAAATTCAACAAAAAATATGCACATCTGGGACACATAAAAATGACGCAAATTAGTACCATGGTGCTAAATATTCATGCATGTATAGAGGATTGCGAAGAGCCCAGCTTCGCGGCAGCTATAGATTTAAAGTCTAAATGAAAGATACTTCGGAGAAATTACAAGTTATTATCACGCAACCGCATGAAAAAAAAAACGAGGCTTGGTTTATAGCAATGTCTATATCACTTGACTGCTTCCGTTCCTAGAAACGTTTGCATTAGATGAAAATAATTCTTACACACTAAAACATACAGCATTTGATATTTTCTGTTCCATATATAAACTGCACGTACATTCTCCCCTCGCAAGTCAACCCATACATTTGAGAGAAGAGACACTCGCGAAAAAAAATTTTTTCCGAACGACTTCCTGGTTCGAATTCAAAAATATTTGCGGTACTTGAAACGGAAATACACACTCGTTTGTTCCAGTTCTGCCTTCCGGACTCGGGTTCATGAGGATCAGCGATAACGGCCAGAAGCGGCAGGAGATCCGACGCGTGCTTTGTCATCGGCCCGATGCTCATCAGATTGTTCCGTAAAGAAGGGATATTAGGAAATATGCCATCTTGCATAACTGCATAAGACACCGGTTTATGCGCGTAAATCCCGCAAAACGACGCAGAGATCCGCATGGAACCCAGCATATCTGCTCCGATTCCGATCGGGCACCCACCGGATGAAATAAGCGCAGCCTCACGAAAGAAAATAAGAGTTTCAGATCATGAATATTAAGTTTAAATGAATGTAAGACGCATCTTTTTTCGAATTTAGAATTACATAACATTGTATTACGTCTCAAAATCTTCTATACTATTTCCGAAGAAAACGCTGGTTCATGGAGAGGTACAAAAAAGTCAGTCAAAAACAGGAAGTGCGCGATATCTCATCTACTCATCAACATAACGTATCGAAAATGTATCTACCACGATGGCATAGTTGTAAACGGAATTTCATCACGATACATTCATGAAAAAAAATTCGAAGGGATCGATGAGAATTACGAGACCGCATCCGAAACATTTTTCTTTCCCCATGTGTCATTCTAAAAAGTGAGCTTGTTTTCATCTGTCATTAAATGCGTATAAAATTGGTCTTAAATTCAACAGAACAAATAACCCTCGAGGAAGTATGGTATTATCAGAGATGATGGTGCAAAAAATGATGACACAGAGTGTGAGGGTCAAGATGACTCATATACGAGTATGCTTCAGATGTACAGTACGCACTTTTTTGAGAACATGAGAGGGCAAGAATCAAAATTATTCTTCCATAATCAACGGCATGTTATGTTCAAATGCATATTCCACAAATTCCCAGCATGTTGTTTGTCAAGAGAAATTAATATAGGAACGGTATACTGCATATTGTCTTATACATAAATTCGACATCAAACTTTCCTCCGCCTTATTGAAGGCAAATTAATAAGGTGAACCTCAGAATCAGTGCAGTCTTCTATACGAAGGTGCGTTGTATTCTGGGGTGATCGATGGGTGTGCTCTAGTATTCGCTCAAGTAAAATATGGTTTGTGTTCTACAAACTTGAAAACTTTGTGGAATACAGTATTAACTATATTTAGTACTCACTGCACCACCAGCAGACCCTCCAGCGTTCCTCCGTACATCGTACGGATTATTCGTTTTGCCGTAGAGAATATTCTTCGTCTCAAACGGAAGCCCGAGTTCGGATACGTTTGTCTGAGCCAAGAAAATCGCACCAGCTCTTTTCATTTGCTTCACCACTTCGGCATCCGATGAAGCGATCCGCTTCCATCGGATTCGTAATCCCGCAGTTAAATGTCTCCCTAAAGAACGTAATCGATCGATATCACTTTATATTCCTATCAACGTTTTCCCAAAATCATCACCATTGATCGCGATATTTTCTTGAGTGCAGAAGGGAATTCCAAGCAATGGGGTTTTCCGCGGTGTGAATTCAGGTCTTCGAGGTCCTCTCAATATTTTGTCATATTCGATTGCCTTTTGCCTCGCAGCTTGGAACTCCGCATATGTTACACAGTTTAGTTGTGCATTTATTTCCTCGATACGTCTGATGAATGCTTCAATCACTTGCACACAGGTGTACTGAAAATTTTGGTACAATGATAATACCGGTAATGTACTCATTTATTCAGGTGAATATTTCCACTTATAGCAAACCCCGCTCTAGCTGCACACGGAAAAATATATCCTAATTTGCGGACTGTGCTGTCATAAATGCTTTCAACACTTGAAATTATTGGCTAAACTCCTGTTCCATCAATGTAAAAAATACAGTTCCAAACTCCACACTGTTTTGTGTTACTCTACACAGTCTACAGTATATATAGTGATATGCTGAATACAAAGATGCCGAATGCCAACTGAAACTTCAATTATAAGTGGACGACGAGTATCACAATAAGTCGTGACTGCAGTTGATTCTTTTGGTCTTTTGGACTTGCTAAACGCCTTGTCATAGATCCTCCATGTCTTCGATAAATATTGATTAGAATTTTGGATCCCCAACGGACTTCTTTAAAAGTTATGTGACGCATGAAATATCCTTCATACCTTGTGATACCAACGTTATACCAGCTAAAGTGAACAGCATTTGGCCAAGTTTGTATTCATAACTTGCAATCGAATTTCTTCGCAAAAATGCTGAATTTAAAAGGTGCCTATAAATGTGTCAATATACTGTAGTAATTAACGTAACGAGGACCCATTTACCATCCCAGACCAAGATACATTTGCAAGAACGGTTCGCATAACGTTCAAAAACCTATATAGAAACATTTATAGAAATGAGACTTACCTCCCGATCACGGATCTTCTCGGCCAAAGTCATGGCACTCTCCATTAAAATAGGAGATTGCAGTCCGGGAAGAAAACCCTTATCATAAAAGGTGTTAACAGCTAGGAATGCCCTGTTCGTCACTCCCCTCACTGCCGATTGCAACATACTCCAAACGGAATATTCGTCCGCTTTCCGCAAAAGCATCGTGGATAATTGTTTGTCACGGTCATTCTTGCAGATTTTTTTCTTATGCTTCTTCGCCGTGCAACACGGGGTCATGAGAAAGAACATGTTCTCTTTCTCGCGTTGTCGTTCGGCACACTTCTCGTCGATTTTTATGACTCCAGAGGGGCGCTCGGCTGGAATATTGTCTCTTTTTTTTAAAACGCTAATTCGACATCATCGCATAGAACCCAACGTTAGCATGGATATTCGGCGACAGGAGAAACGATTTCACGCGAAACAGCAACGAAGAGAAAATTACCAAGACAGGGACCATGCAAAAAAAAACCTAGCAAAATGGAAATACAGCAAAAATCGGCAAAGACCAATCGTTCCATTGAATTCCTTTCCAATTTCTTCTGAAACTTGTGTACTATTATTAACTCCATAAGAATTAATGCTCATCTGAATAATGAAGAGGCGTTTTGTCCCTTATCGAGATGACTGAACGTCACGTATCATCGATCACTGCAAGGCGCATTTCTCGTGCAAAAATAAATTACAGTTCTCATTACTGTACTTTACTTAAATTCCAATACTTGCTTTTTTTAAAACACCTTCGAAACAGAAACGAATTGAAGTCGTGTGAAACTGTTCCTCTTTCATTTATTTTTTGCTGGATCCTTTTAGCACGGCTTATCTGTCATTCTTCTCCAATAATCTTTTCATCACTAATTCTAGCTCGTCACGATGATCAACGCGATTTAGCCAAAACGAATAAATTACAAAATCACGATCAACATAAAATTTTTCCAACAATCCAACCTATTGGGCCAGCAGGGAGAATCGCTTCCTCCATTTCTTCACAATATCCTTCTTCATCACACTCCAACGAGAACCGCATTTCCTCCCTTCCAGGCTCAGCTTCATGAGCTCGCATCAACTCCAACATGTCTTTAAACTTCGTCATGGACCACTTGGGATTCACACATTCGGCCCTGGTGAACTGCGGATCATACGAGGCCACTCTTTTGGAAGGATTGTAACATTCTGGATCATCCACTCCTTTAGGAATGTCCTTTCTCGGACGATACGTCAGAATCTGCCCAGAAACTTGCAAAGCTCGCTCGTAAGCAGCAATTTTTTTCAACTTGTCCCGATAATGTTTGGTCTTCGCAGCTTCTCGGAACTCGTTCTTTTCCTCACATCGGGGTTTTGGGGTTTTAACGTGATTCAAAACAGGCATGCTGTAGCACCTGATGGGCTCCATTCCCGGCGGATACTTCCGCACGGACTTGTCACACATAACAGGAGGGACGTAGTCGTCGGGTGGTGGACTATGCTGCCCGACCTTTCCATTTCCCGCAAACATTCTCGTCGTTCCAAACGGACACAGTTGACGCGCGGCAACGTGGGATGAATCCAGAGATGATGCACCACCTTTCAACAATGTTTCTGACATCACAGAGCGTATGAGGTGACCAGCATGGAGGATCCTAACGTGCGAATCCGAGGAATCCGAATTCGTCATCTTCACACCGCAAAAAGAGTTCTCTGCCTCACGATTGCATTTCCTTACCTTGTAAAAAAAATCAGAATGTGAATAAGTAATCAGTATGGACAAAACTTGCGCCGCAATTCATCGAGTGGGAGGGTTCATCGAGTACCCTCCCACTTTCAAGCTTATGTTTTTAGTTTGAATAAGTTGTACCATGAATCAAAAACCTTGACTCTGTAATACGAAGTTCACGTTACAATAATCAATTATTCATTAGTTTTGAAACTACTTGGAACAAGACTCAATTTCCATTTAAGATAGAATCACAAATATTTCAATATCAAAGATGCGTTACTTTTTCCTGAGAAAAAGACGCGCCAATTCGTTTTCTCACCAAGGCAGTCCTATTGAAGGTTTTATAGTAACATGTAAAGAGTAAGTGGTATAAAGTAAGTATAAGCACAACTTGAAAATTATATCACGGGTTTCAATTGTGTTCGCTGTGAACCATGAGCTCATCTCTGTGACCAATGAAGGTTGCTCCAGAATAAGGATCGATTCCGATTTTCGAGAATATTTAGATGCGTTTTTGAGTTTCCAATCGACTTGAATTATCTACAATTGATCAATTGATCATCATAACCGCATGCGAGACAAATTCTTCAGATAGTTTTTCAGTATGCGCCCGAAGTATATTATACATTCAGACTTTTTCAATCTTCTCCGAATTCATGAATGTTTCATATTCATGCCTGTGCTCAACATGTAAGATTTCCTTTAAACTGGATCCATGAAGTTTACTTGACGTTCTTTGGTTAACCATATTTACGCAAGTACCATGCGTACCTCTTTCAAGAAACTGGGGCAAAAAGAGGTGCACATCATAGTTGTTTAAAAATTCCCAAGCAACAATTCCTCAATTTTCCCAAACTTCAAAAATTTTTAGAAGTTCTCCTCTCGTATAATTCTAGGATTTGCATGAAACAACAAAATTGAAATTAACTTTCTATTGGGCTTGCATCTATATTTTTTACCCCGTATAGTACTGTATTTGAAATATGGATTTGGTAACTGAAAACTAAGATGTGAATCTTATGCAGTGATTGCATTTCTTCCAATATTTGAGCTGAAAAATAAAACTACGATGGGCGTATGGCATTTGAGTAAATACAATAACATTGGCAAAATTTACGCGTACCGTACTTCTGCGGCTGAAGACCAGCACTTAAATTTCAAGCAGCAATTTAAAAAAAGAGATAATGCTGTTCTACGGGCCGCAAATATTCGGGTACATTTGGAGGCAAACAAGGCTCGTACTCTGAAAATTCTACAGATTTCGCATCCAAATCCAAAAATTAAGTAGGGAATTAATCATTCAAAACTCAGATAATTGCGGAGTTACACGTTTTCGCTGGGATGTGAATCATGTGATTTAATGTAGAGCATAAATAACACATACAGAACACAGTACTGCATCTCATTTTCTGGAGTACAGGATGCATGGGTTAGACTGAGGAGTGACCTAGGTTCCACAATTATAAGTCAGATTACGTTATCAGATCAGGTTGAAAACGGTTAAAATACGTTCAACTCTTTTTTGTACAACCACCGGATTCGGCGCGAGACAGCTGTGAGATATCCTTAGGCTCCAATTATTGAAACCGACAGTAGACGAGGCAGTGCAGCAGAGTTTACAAACGACGCCACCGAATCTTAAGTCAGTGGAGGAAGAAATCGTGGTCTGCGCGTTTCCTTGATCGCTCGTATGAGCTCAGAAGAGCCCTCGAAACGAACGTAAGTCATTAAGTTATTTAATTAGCTAATTAGTACAGTAATTTATAACCGATTGATTAGCTTGCAGATTCCTTTTAAACTAAGAATAAAGAGCAGGAGACATCACACGAGCAAAAAAGCTTCCATTCCGAATTCCAAAACATGTCCTTCACACATCATCAGATTCATATTCCGACGTCACATCCGTATTTGAAAGCAACAATAATTAATGTAGTTGACACGCATCACACGCCCGTCAGAGAGCACGAGAAAACAAGAAACTGTTCACGGGGGACAAGAGCGCGAAAATACTCGGGAAATCTTTCCGTTTAAAAATGCATTAGTTGTTCGTTTATTGATTTCGTTGGCTTTTGTCCGTCTTTTGTTTGTTTGCGGTTCACACATGTGTGGCTGGCGATACGTAAAGGTGCCGGGGTACAGCGACTTTCGTAGGCGACTTCGCCGGAGACGAAGTGGACGAGCCAGGTCCGCCCACGTGCAGTCGAATATTGTGGTTGCTCGAGTCATTGGCTGTACACGCATGTCGATGGTCTGCAAACACACCAACAAGCAGATAAGAACAATACTTTTGTGCACCGCATCGTACACAGTTTTGCAGTAGTCATTCACATCAACTAAAAATGCATACTTCTAATCTGATATTACACAGCTCACCGAACATATTCATCAACTCTTTTTTCATTCGTAGAAAATATTCTTTCCATTGAATCTATTTGAGCATGAGCTACGAAAGAATTTGTGAGCAATTTATCTGTGCCAGGGAAAGATGGTTGATGTGTACATAAACATACATAAGGTTTCCTACGAATTTCTCGTCTGAGTCACAAAAACCAGAATAAATATACAAACTGCACAGGGACAAAGCAGGACATTTAGAAAGGTGCCGCTTGGTGCATCTCAACCCAGTTGATCATACTTGCCTTCGTGATTTACCAAAAGACGAGTGCGAAACGACATAATTAAGAAAATGTGACATTAGTGAATTGTCAGTTGAGAACTAGTGGAATTCTGGGGAAACATTCCAGCCAAGGTGAAGGATCCTCACAAAAGCTCTGTTCTTCCTGATGCTCCATTTAGGTCAACATCAGGGGTTCCTTGAATCATCATTTCGTCATCCGCTTGCAATGAAATAAAGTCATTCAACGTTTCCATGAAAAATTGCTTACAAGGAACAACTAGGTTCCAGCAGCCTACAATCACAATTCTTCGGCGATAGTAATCGACAGAATCACCTCATAATACGATTTTTTTTAGTGAGATGCAAGGATGGATAAAATTTTGATCCGCAAAAAATCGTAACTGCCTCTTATTTTTCTACGCGCGGACCTTCAACTTAAAATACGGAGAATGCCCAATCAGCAGCGATTTTAAAAAGAGCTTTTAATATTTTTATGGTTTGTACCTCTTTTAAGACACAGCAGTGGCTTCGACTCACATCAAGAAAACACTAGTTCGTAGCAAAATATTATATTTCCATACGAAATAATGTACGCTCATCATTCGAAGTTATCTTAACAGTGGTCTCTACGTTTTTCGTTCTGGTATATTCCTCAAACTCCTTTTGTCGGTCTTTTATCATGGTTGAAAAAGCCGCTCTTTTCCATTACCACTCACCGTGAAATGCGAAAGAAGAAGATCGAAAAAAATGGCTACCAACCTCGGTAGCGGACAAGGACGGCGCTGCCGGCTCCAGAAGCCGTGGTGCACAGCGGGTCAGCAAGACTTTGTGGACGTACCACGTCGTACGAGCGCGGCGAACGTTTGCCTCCTGCAGCCACAACCGCCGGACTCGAAGACGAGGAACACGAAGAAGATGAAGAAGTGGATGAAAATGACGATGACGAATCTCCTCCTCCGCTTCCAGGTCCTGCTCCTGAGCTGACACTATGCCCTGGACTGCGGCTCGTCTTGTTGCCGCCACCAAAACCCCAACTGTCGAGGTATCTGCTCAAGTTCAAGTCTGGCAACACTGTGGATACAAGCAGACAATCACATGAACGATGGAAGTAAAGAAAAAAAGAAGAGGCACACAAGGGTACTATTCAGCGTATTTCATAATTAGCCTTGGATTCCTAGGCTAATTCAGGTTTCGTAGCACTTTTCAATTTGTAATTATCGAGGTTTTGAGCATTTTTACAAACCATGGGATGATGAGAAGCAATAGATAAGCCATTTCAAAATTTTTTACAGATGGTTTCCTTTAAATTTCACCAACTTGAAAAAACATCTCAACATGTGCGTAATGGTATCATACTAATATTGGACATAGCGAGTCCAGTCCTACGTACACGAAAAGCGCTGGTACTTCTTGTCCACCTTGTTTGACATGAGCCGGGTCTGCTGGGCCTGTAGTAACTGTGCAGAGCAAGAAGACGTCGCTGATGGAGACGACGACACGACTGATAATGGGGCTTGTTTGCTTCCTTCTGCCGCCATTTCCGACTCAGTTCCCACACTCGTGCTTCCGTCGGGAACAGAGTGATCGTCTTTTGAGACTGCAAAAGAGGTGGACGAGACAAGAAATCAGTGAAATAAAAAGAGACACAACAACGCATGAACCAGTTCAGCGCTGCAAATAAAACACTATTCCTACTTATCTCCTCGAACAAGAAACAAAAAATTAAATTTGCAAAATTAAGTGAACAAGTGACACTGAATGACATCGGTGGAACGTTCGATCAGATTTTATGTCAACAATATCAAATTAATCAGAAAGGTAGTACTGTAAATGTTTTGCGATGCAGGAGACACTGAACTAACAATTCATTTTATTTTATTTCTATAGACCCCTTTTCTAAGAAGTTTGGGTAACTTACCCGTCCTCTCATAAGCAAGCCGATGCTTCAGCACTGCAGGGTTCACGAGTCCCGTCGTACGGTTTGCAGCTCGTAGAGCTTCTCGACGACTTTTGCTGCACGTCACAGCATTCTGTAATGAAAAGAACGGATAAAAAGGCATTTCACGTGGAATGAGAATCAGAAAGGAACACGCGCACAGAAATCGAAACTGACCTGAATAGCCGTGAGCCAGTCCTTGAGCTGGCCCGGTGTCGTGCAAACAGTAGCTTGTTGTTGCTGCTGCTGCTTCTGAAAGGCAGAAAAGGTGGGAGACGATGCCGAATGAGCCAACGGGAATGGAACTCCGGTAGAGTTATGCCCGTTGCTCGTGGTTCCATCATTGCCATTGTTGCTGGTGGTGCTAACAGGTCCACCACTGTTAGACACACAGCGCAACATGAGGCGACTGTCGTTTCGCACATGCAGCGCAACGACGAGTCCCGTGCCATCCGCCCATTCGGCACGCTCCACGTCCACCAATGACACCTGTCAGTGGACAAAACGAAAGCGAGACTCACAATTCATTCAATAATCGACAGAAAAGAAATGATGACGCTTCAATACGGGATCGTCAGCCTTATTTGCCTTGTATTCGTATCTAACCTCATTTCATTCACAAGCAGATTTCCAAACTCATTACGAACTCAAACTTCATAGAAAGGGTGATCAAATTATTCAGAAACAAACAAAATGTCCCCGTTCGTAGAAAACCAAGAATTTCATTAGTTTTCCCTTCAGTGTGTGGCTAACTATGATTGCTTGAGCAAAGTTCTGTTCCTTTTCGAAGAAATTTTATTTAAGATACAGTACTGAACAATACGCAATACTGTACCATATCTTCACAACGTGAATGGACTGTTTTCGGCGAAAGCTCCAATATTCTAGTCGATGGCGTATTTATGTATACTGTTCCATGAGTAAAAGTCAACGTGAGTTAAAAGGCTGTTGGCGTCGATCATCCCCATTGAAAGAAATGAAGAACGAGAAACGGACCTTGAATTGAAAGGTACCCATGCCCGAAGAGGAAGAGGCTGGCCCACTGGCCCGACTAAAACAGGCCAAATAGTCGGGCATGAGCAAGAGGTAGCGGTCTCTCCAACGAGACAGGACGCGGTCTCGCTGCACGCACACTACGCCACGGTGCAGACACGAGCCGCCCGAACCCGACGGTACTACGGCGATTTCCACGGGATTCGACGAAGACGGACTTGAACATGGTGATGCAGGATCACCAACACCTCCACTGCTGTCTAGTGGACGCATCACGCCCATCTGTCACGATACGTAAAACCGACAGTAAAAATCAATAGAAATCGAGCAAATGATGGTCACGAATCGAAGCCTCTTTATATCAGTCGCCGAACAGTTTTCGAAAGTCGTAAGGCGACATGGATTCGTTGGTACGGTAACTGTTGCGACGAAGGTGTCGCTAAAGCACCAGAATAATCCTTCCAATACTCAAGGTTTGAAAACATTCTTTTTTTTACCTAAAAGGTACAAAGCACAATTCAGAAACCATCTTCGTTTATTCCGAATTTGTGGATCAGAAATGTCTTTTGTTAAAAGACAATCCGTATGAAAATACTTCATGCAGTTCAACGATGAAGGAAAATATACAATACGCGATGACCATGAATTCGGGGAGTTCCAAGCCACTCACGGTATGGAAGACGTGGAGCGTAGAATTTTCTTTTTCCCAGCGGTGGGATCGTCAAATCGTGACATTTGCTGCGAATCAAGCACCTGAAAATCATAATAGAGAATGTAATCAATTCAATTTGCATCACAACCATAATCCAAGCATGCTTGGTTTACACTTCAGCGAAGTGAACAAATTTTGCGAAAAAAATTTTGGTTTTTGCTGGCATCAGGGTCAGGGCAGCGTGCGGTATGGAATGTAAGTTAGGTTTCAACAACCAATGGATAACCTTGATTGGGAGTCACTTCGATACTGCCCCGCGACTTTTCCTTTCAAGATTCAAAGTATTACACTACACTCCAGACTCGAAAAGCTAACACTCTAACGAGTACAGTAGGCTTCAGTAATTGGTTCTAATTATTGATACTAGTCGAGTAAATTCCTATATCAACGCGAGAAAAACTTCATCCACACCAATTTGACTGTAAATCAGGATCTAAAAATGTAAAGAATTGCACTTCATGGTTATCTTCCGCCACCGTGGCAAGATCCGACGTTGGAGTGACAAGTGAGCCTGACTCAAATGCATACTGGAAGTAGAAGTTCACCCGTTAGTCGTTATCCATGGGCGAGCTACTACAGTACTTATCTAACCCGCGTGACGCGGAACTCGAAGGGTTGTCAATTTCCACCTTACGCCCAACCACCCACAGAAATTTGGGGAGCATGAACAACGACCGATTACAAATACTGTACCTAAGAATATCACCATGAGGAAAACAAATGAGGAATTCCCCAATTCATGTGAACCAGGTGCGCTCAAGTATCCAAAAGGAAGCTTATCTCAACTGCGCAGCCATGGAAACTTGCTAAGAAGCGCCCTCTACTTTATTTATCCTCACACGTGCGCTTCACAAACCTTCATGTACTCCTTCGAATTGGGAACAGCGGGTGTAGGTATTTGACCTTTAAGTACAAAGAACATTACAGAAGTTCCTCCACTGCTTGTTAAGCCTTCTTGCTTCTTTCCTTTATTTTTCCTCTATCTCACCAGGAGACACTATCTCTTCATCTATACTGTAGTTCCAACTCTGCCCTGGAACTGAAATAATCTATCCTATCTAATAATCTGTTTATGTCAAATCTACAATGATAATGATAAAATCATATACTGTATATCCATATCATTTTTTGACAAGAAGTATGCTGGATGTAAATCGAACTTTTTCCAGAAGTAAGGGAGTCAATATTCTTGAGCAAATGAACCCTTGCTCAAAAGTTCAGCAGCCTGTCAAATCATTTTCACAGCAATTTAATTTTGAATTCATTTATGTTTGCCATTGCAAAAATGCGTCTTCCCTCAACCCAAAAACTCTCAATGTTGAATTTATTTCAGGTCCCTTGGAAGATCAACTTAAATAGGTTCCACTTTGCATAAAAGATCTTCTTAATTGCTGGGCTGGCTTTTAAGTCAACCAAGCAATTTGATCATCTTATCAGTTTTGTCCCTGAATTCGGCCAAATAGGATTTCCCACCTCAGGCCAGGTCTTATAAGAATGGAGCACAGAACATAAAAACCAAATTATTTATTTATTTGGCAGCTAAACTGATATGATCCGCTAGTATGAGGCTTACGACAGTAAATGTGTTATATGTACTTGTCGAAACACAAGTACTGTACAGTACAGCACTCATTTCGAAACGCGAAATTTTTACATGAGGAAACTGATACCAGAAAAATGCTTTTAAGAGTTTAATCCACTTCCTTCACAAACAATGCTTATCATCAACATGAATAAAAATACGCTGAAAAATGGGACATGCTGTTTTCAAAAATATCATCAGTTCATTCATGCAACAAAATAAGAAGATTGCTCATGGATAGATTAACAAATCATGATTTTCAACAGTAAGTTTTTAGAGCCCTTGCTTTACAACAAATCAGATCAATTCAACAACGGATCCGTGGTTTTGGGACAATTGTAAACGGAATGCTTTCTCCAGCTGGTTTCCAATGCGCCCGAGGCAAAACCCTCGTCAGCTCAGTCGCAATGGCAAAGGCTTCATAACTCTTCCCCGGGGCACACACCAACTAAAGCAAAAAATAATATTCAATCTGGGCGTTATTCAACTATGAAACAGTCACTTAAAAGAAATACGGTTAACAAACGTCCTCGTGTACCTGCATTCCAATGGGAAGATTTTCGTGGCTGTAACCGATCACGATTTGCGTAACAGGAACCCGCAAAACGTTGAATATTGCGCTGTAGACGAAACTGGTGAAGCAAAAAAGGGACTGTCCGTGAAATGGAGCAAGTAATGGGTAAGTTGGGTACACCAATACCCCTTTCTTCAACACAGCCTGCATATAAAATTACGCTCAACCGTTTATAGAAAACTGATTGTGGATATGGAGTCTTACGAATAGCTCCGCTTCCAACAGAGTTTTCACGTGATCCAAACGTTGTCGTAAAACTTCGTGCTTTTCGGACACCAGGGTATCTTGCAGTACAGAAGAAATCGCCAAGGATTTCGTATGATCGCTGCATCCAATCAGTGATTTGAATAATTCATTCACAGCATTTTTTCTCCACTGCGAAAACATTCAGCAATTTCGACTTCCGTGTATACTGGAGTAGAGTTTTACAGTACTGTTAGTACGGTATTAAAAATGTTTGAGCTGGGTTTATCACTTTAAAAAAGCGTTTTTGAAAATTATGTACGATATTTCAGCATCGTTAAGATTGAATACTATATGTATTAATTTACCGGTTTAAAAAGAAAGAATCTACCTTGGAAGCAATTTTTTGTAATGGCGAAGTTTTTGGTTGCCTTTATTGCGAGTGCATTATTATTTCTCAACAAATGACATTTCTACGCAACAAGCCAAAATTTAGAAACTTTAGTACTGTACTTTTAAAAACATTTGACTTTATTCCTCATACATCTATCTTTTTATCCGACATTTTATTTATTATAAAACTGAAAACTTTCCAGCCCACTCAATTTTTTGGTGAAAAGATTATATACCAAACGATTTGTCATTTCCTCGGTCAGAAATGCTTCTTCTGTGGACTTCGAAATCGCCGCCAGAAACAATTCGAAAGACAGATCCAAGTAAGGGATTTTCACCTGCCGAAAAACATTTCGTCAGTATTACTAATACAGTACTGTAAAACCATCATCAAGGCCCAATCTCACTTTTTTAGCCTTCAACTTCATCAAGCACTTCATCCAGTCAAAAGTTTCCAAAATCATGTCTTGAATTTCTGAATCCAAACGACAATCCGTCAAAGTCCGTTCCCCTTGATTCAGCATGTAGAACAACTTCAACTTCCTAAACTTAACCTGAAGAAAAGACGAAGGTTCAACTTAATCGTCGGAAATTTCCGACAGGGATTTCGCCTCACATTCACAACGAACGACCTTGGTCCCCAATCAAGCCTGTGAGTCCCACGCATAACTTTCAAGATGAATGTTAAATCGGTTGGAAACTTAACCAGAGCAGCAACCATTGCCAAATTGCTGAATGTGAGGGGCGACAAAAATGCACCTTCCACACTTCGATCGGAAATCGGCTCTGAATGCGCAAACAACCCCGCAAAGCATGCGGAGATTCGCAGCGATCCAGTCAAGTCCAAACCAACCCCGAATGGACAGCCCCCAGCAGTAATTAAAGCAGCCTAAATTGAAAAAAAATTATAAAAATTAGTCTCACTGGAAAAAGATCTTGCAAATTGTAGCATTTATTTTAGAGTGATGCGGTATAAATAAGATTAAAAAGGTTGGTTCATCGGTTCGGCCAATCTCGAGCTCACATGTTGGGGTCTATAATGAATAAATGTGTGTTGAAAACATTATTCAAGAGTAAAGATACATCTCCGCTTGTTCACCTCGTTGCGCCTGCTTCTAAAACAAATCTTGCTAATATTTCCAAAAAAGAAGTTGGAACAGTTTTTTTCTTTCTCTCATGGAAACACGATAGATCATCAGGCACTAACATTACAAGTCAGCTGCAATAATAATTCATTGGAGAAAGGTTATAACTGGCAACTGATTTAAAAAATTCGAAGAAACATCGAACAACTCACAGCTCCACCCCAATCACCTCCCGCTGATCTTCTGGCATCATAAGCATTACTGGTTTTACCGTAAACACTATTGCTTGTATCAACAGACAGACTCAATTCTGCAACATTGGTTTGTACTAGAAAAATTGCACCAGCTCTCCGTAATTCGTCAATCAGGTACAGAGTTTCCTCAGCACGCTCTTCCTTCCTGGCTTTTAAACCTCCGGTAAACGGAAACCCTGAAACTCATCGAAAATTGAGAAAAATTTCCCAGAACGCCACTTCAAATTTCTTTCACCTTCAACAGCTATATTTTCTGGAACACAAAAAGGAACTCCGAGGAGTGGATACACCCTAGATATTGTTGCTGGGGTCATTGTCTTCACTATTCGGTCCACGCGTGCAGCTTCTATCATCGCTCCGTCGAAGTTCCCTCGCGTCACGCAATTCAATACCGCGTCGACTTCCAGAATTCGTTTGATGAAGGACTGAATGACCTTTTTGCAGGAGTACTGTCCGGAAAAAAACAATCGCGGCAAAATAATCGGTAAGCAAAAAGCTTTGAACGTAATTCTCCGAAGAAGAATGATTACATAATTTATTTTTCAAAATGCATTGAAATTTTCCTTCAAACACCAGTGATAGACCCCAGACGGTTTGATAAACCTAGAACGAAATGATCTGCTATCTGTTACATCACCTTGCCCTTCCAGTTCGGGAAGCCGAATGAGAGAGAGACAGACAGAAATATTTGATTTGAGATCGAATATTTCATTTTGAATTTTTCCAGCGTCAAATAAGATTGAACCGATGATCGAAAAACGATATAAATCATCTGTTTCCTCAGATATGTGCTTCCTTTGTTGTGAGTCATTTTGGATGGTTTCAAGGTGTTAACGAACCTTTCGAACCATATACTGTAATTTTGAAATTACACAGCATAGTAAAATGTCGAAGAAAAAAAACAATAAATCATCTGTGCTTTGGCATAAAAGTTCCCTCGTTTCTCGTTCCCTATAGCAACGTAACTCGTGGCCGGAATTTCAAAAATACTTTCCAGTTTGGAAACAATGATGCTGTACTCTCCTTTCCGAATTACCTGCTTGTTCCTAATTTTCGCAGCAATGGTTTCAGCACTTGAGAGATACAAGGTATCTCGAATTTTCGGGAATTCTTTCTTCGACATGAAGGAATTCAAGAGTCCCAGAGACACAGAGGCAATGGATGAAGCAGCTTGATACCATTTTGCCAACACAGGAGCTTTCGAAGACAACGTCAAATCAAACGTCTTCTTCGGAAGTGGGAAAACTGGTACCGGTTTCCTTTTCCTCAAAATCGGTGTGATGGCCCAACAGCCGGGGACACCATCACAATCGGTATAGTCAAAAATACGCTGATCGTCGTCGTAGCAATCATCCCGCTTTATCACTACCAAGAAACGCGGTATAAAATTGCATTTCCCATCGGAAAAATTTGAAGAATAAATTACTCACCATCAGTGATCTTCTGCGAAGGCACAGGAGTCCGCTTCATCCTGAGGTTTAGGTATTGGGAGGAATAACTGATAACAAGATAAGGCTAATATTTCTACGAAAGAAGGTGTACTTCAGAAAAGCTGATTTCCATCATCAGTCAATAGAATGCCATTCGTATATTCTCTAAAAAGAAACACGGATCACAAAAAAAGGTGCACGTAAAAGGACCCGAAATTCAGTAACCACCAATTAATACTTTCAAACCCGTCACAACACACACCCAATTCCAACGACCGAACAACTGGAACAAAATATGACTTAGATCCTTTCCCAACGATCGATGAAAAATATGCCCATTAAGCTAGATCAACGATTGAATCCCAATGCACACCCTATATGCTTTTTCGGATCACCAGGGATTGCTAGGTTTTGCTAGCGAAAAACGTAGTCCGAGAACAAGGTGGGACGCTTGTTACGTGGTAGCTACCGAATATGTATTCTTTACCCATAGTATATCACCACACATTTACTTCTGAGATAGCTGACGGAACAGTGGAAATATTCGAAAACGGCCTCAACGCCAAAGAAAAGTTGCAAGAAATTGTGACATTTTTAAGCTTTTTAACCTCATTATAATTCGAATCTTTAGTGGAGCCAGTTCCGAAAACAGACCTCAATTTCAAAAGATTTCATTGAAGTTCGACTACGAAGTCGGAAGGGTAGTATCACCTGTGTCAAACTTAAATCACTCGAACATGCTTTGGATTTAGATACTGGAAACACTGGTTTTGCAGCTCAAATGCTGAAAGAAGCCCAGCAAACAATGGCATAATCCTAAAAATGTTTATTTAAAAAAAAAAAAAGAATTAGTCCCTCTGAATGACGCACGCAAAGGAATCAATATTTTTGAACACATCGAACGCAGAAGGAACGACACTTGGTCTAAAGAAGAAAAAATGCCAAGAAGAATGATTGCTGACGCCCACGGCAGAATTGAAGACTTTCCGAAGAAGAGCATTATCACAATGTTACAATATGATATCTCTTAAATCTGCGACTAGTTTCGAAAACACACGGCTGAAATGGATGTCACATACGCGAAAGAACACCGTAATTTTTTCGAGAAATCTTCAAAAGCAAGCAAGTTTCCAATTAGTTCACATCAGAAGGTGGAACATATCCGCCGAGACCTTTCTCCAACGCACAAGCTAAGCCTAGAGTGATGGCGTCTTGATCACGTCCAGCCATGATCTGTAAAATGAATACAAGTGACGACAAACGTGTTTTAGGGGGTTACTCAATTTTATGCAAACCGTAATTCCCAGCGGCAGTCCATCAGAGAACCCAACAGGGAGATGAGTGGCAGGCAATTTCAATATATTGGCCATCCCACTGTGCCCGTGACTGCATGAGAAAAAGTAGGATTGCTTGTGCGGAAGCGCTTTATGCGGAAATGTTGGATACAAAAGCACTCCATCTTCCCCAAGTAAATCCTAAAAGCGAATAAACGTCTGTCGTCAACGAGTAAAATACAACTCAATCATGCCAACAATCCCATTTCCGAAACACCAGCGAAATGAACACCCAATTCCACAAGAAGAATCATCGTAAACCTTCCAACGAACACCGACGGTTAACATGTCCTCGGCATTCGAAAATCGTTAACACACGTTCAATCCATCACCCCTAGAAAACACATATGTATTTAACCTAATAATGTCAGTACTGAACACAGGAAATTTCCAATGCCTTCACCAACTGCATTCGGAACAAATTAAAAAGATTCATATCCTGCCTTTCAATGCCGTTATAAATCTCCCCATCACGCTTCCATGTTCCGTCGAGAATTTTTTTTCCAAGAACCTGGACAATCGGAATCTCGAGCCTTCTACAGATATTCCATTCGCAATAATCTCAGTGAAACGAAACAGGTTGATAATGTATGATGAACTTACCAACAACTCCGCTGAAAGATTCTCGTAGGCTTCATCCATAAATTTTCCAAAACTGGAATCAACCAGTTTGAACATTAATCTCTGGAGTGAGGCGTGATACAAGAGTGGATACGTATGCTGGGATTTGCTCCTGATAAACTTCAGCCATTCCCGCAGAATAGACGTAGACCCCTATAAAACATTAGTGTGCTCAGTTATTCTCAAAGAATTCAAATAAATGCCAGACCTCACCGCTTGATCGCCCATCGAGTTAATCAGGAGAAGCTCCTCGTTGTGCTTAGTCGCCTGCGCGATTTTGTAACCCCACATGGTGGCTATATGTCCACTATTCTTCAGCTGCACCTATATCAAGATTGATATAAGTGTTGACGCTAATATCGGTGTAAAAGCAAGAAATCACACAAAAAACCCGACTCCTACATCTTTCACTAGTTTGAGCATATTGAAAAAATAAATTGACGGCGCCCTTTTGTCTGAAAATTGAATTCTGGATGCAAAAAACTCGCTCTGAAACTAACCTTCTTGACTTCAACCGAATGGACAGCTTTCAAGTGCTCGATCACTTTCTTCAAAGCATTCTTCATATCACGATCAGTTTCGTGGATCAGTGGGTCACCAAACCCATCGAAGGTGAAGTATCTGAGTTTCTTGAGATCGAGCTTGAAAAAAATTTTTTTTTAACAAAAAAAAAAAAAAGACCACGTGTCTTCCACCCGTAAAAACTTACTTTCCGATCCAACTGAAGTCCTTTGGGACACTTTCTTGTGAGTACTTTGAACATTTCAAGAACATCTTCAGCATACCGTGCCATGGGACCAACATTAAAATATTCATTCATTTCCCCGGAAAGATCCGGACAGTGTCCACCGCTAGAAACCAGCCCAGGAGAACCTTTATGCCCGCAGATTCCGTTGAACAAAGACGGAATCCTCACTGATCCTCCGAGATCTGTACCCAGGCCCATTGGAGATGCACATGCCGCGATTGCACTTCCCTAGTAAACATGTGTTGAGGATTAAAAAATAAATAATCTAACGCTACCAGGGATCAAAGAAATGCGATGGGAACAATTTTTTTCTATTGCGCTCGAGTATGTGATATATCTGCAGAGATATCGGTAGTTGAGTTTTTTATCTTTTCAAGACGTAAGTATATCTGCACAGTACAAAGCTCTGTGGAAAGACACATACTTTATAATAATGTAATTCAAGAGAACGTTGGGATATTGAAGTACAGGACTGTATATCATCTCGGTTATAACATGGTTTTGTCGAGTGGTACAAAAAGGGTATTAATTTCAGTTCCTTTTTTCGTCATTCGAAATTGGCAGCTCCTTTAAATGTACAGTAATCTTGTGTTGAGGAAAATGCTTCGGATTCCAAATGCTGTCTTCCGATTTCCAAAAGAAAGAGGCAGCAGAACACGCAAAACTACTGTATCATGAACAAACCAGCCCTTTGTTGAACAGCTTGACTATTTGAAAATAAGAAAAAGAAAATATAATACTGTACTGTACCTTTCTACACGAATATTTGAATTACTTACAATAAATTATCTTTAAAAATTAATAAAATTGTCAATGCATGCCTCTAATACTGTAAGCTGCCCAGCTGACACATAGCGAAGTGCACGTAGACGCTTTCTATTCAGGATATAATGTAATACAGTGGTGACAATGGTTTTTATAGTCACGAGGGACAACTCAACAGAAGGAACGCGAGAACATCAGGGTCGTTTTCAAAATGTTTGACGAAATTGAATGAAAATGGAAGCCTCTTTTAATACTACATAAAATGAAATATAAAAACTCACTTCGCCTCCTGAAGAGCCCCCAGCAGAATAACGAGTATCATAGGGGTTCTTGGTAAGCCCAGTTATCAAATTGTAGGTCTCCCACCACATACACATTTCTGGGATGCTGGTGGTGCCAAGTGGAATTGCTCCTGCTTCGATCAATGAAATGACAGCGTCAGCATCTTCCTCCGCTTTATGATCAGCTAGTCGCAGAAGACCAACAGTACTTGCACAACCTTTTTTAATGAAGGAAAACCTGCAGGATCATCTCCTCAACGGTAATCCGAAATGTTGAATTACACAATTTAATCAAACAAACCCTTCAATTTCAATGCCTCCTTCACGGTGAAAGGAACACCAAGAAAAGGAGTATCCTTCTTGACAGCTTCTAAGTTCAAATTATCGTTTTTCAGCAGTTCGTCGACTTTTTGCGCAGCAAGGATAGCATCCAAAAATCGAGTATCCGAAATGCACCGGAGATACGGATTGACTTGATGAATTCTTTCAATGTACGCTTCGACAACTGTAACGCATAACACCTAAAATGCAAGATATAACGTAATGTATCTGAATTATTTGGAGTGCTGTATCAGAAATACAAAGATTGGTTCACAAGTTTTGTACGATAAATTACCGTAATTCTTTTGGTTACGAAACGTTTTTGTGGAAGAATCTTCCGAACTAATTTCAGGCAGATAAAAAGACATGGAAGTCTCCGTAAATTTTTGAACGCTATTTGTACTGGCAGCGTGAGTTGGGCTAATTCAAAAGCAGTTAGAAATCAGAGTAACATTCACATTGGGCATCAACATAGCAACACTTGTAAAGACTAACGCTCGATCCAATTTGAACACATCGTACAGATGGGATACTGCCGTCCATAAAATATCCAAAATACTGTATAAGAAATACAGTACAGCGTTCGATAGCAATCACGAAAAACCTGCACATCCATTAAACAAGGAGTACGGCAATTAAATTACAGTAGTTTTGCAATACTGCTTGCACTGATGGTTAGAACGTCCATGTCTCTCTTCATTCAAACAAATGCGGGAGGATACAGATAAAATGCATGAACCAAATCTAGTTTGCTGAGAACCTCGACCTACCTCTTTCGTTCGTATCTTGCGTGCAAGAGTAACAGCTCCATCAAGAAGAAGTTCATTTTTCACAGGATGAACAGTTCGTTTCTTTCGGAAGAGCAGCAGCAACGAAAACAAAATTTTCGCGAAAAACTCTACGAGCACCCGACATGTCTTCACAGCATAAAATAACACGTAGTTGCGCGCGCAAGAACAAATACCAGCTTGGCACGAAGCTGCCATTTGCCTAAGAAGAGGAAGATAATGTGTCTCAAGCCAAAATTAAATAAATAACAATTTCTAGACATTCTCTTATAAATTATCACTACGACAGACCCGCTATAGACCGAACAGCCTGCCAAGTTTCGGAAGCCAACGATCGGGCATTTTGAGCACCCTCTGACAGAACTTCGCGGAGATGATGGCGATCATTCATTAGCGCCGAATATGTTTCACGAATAGGCTTTAGATGTTCATTAACCGCTTCAGCAACGTGCAGTTTGTATTTTCCGGTGTCGAGTCCTTGCGCAGATTGCACAGCTTCATCCACTGTGATTCCAGCAGATAAACTGTGAAGCAGGATCAAGTTTGATACGCCCGGGCGTTTCTCAAGATCGTAATACACTTCCGATGTGAAGTCTGTCACAGCCTTCCTGCACTTCTCCACAACTTCGTCTTCCGAGTCAATTATACTGATCCGGCTCTTCGGATCAGGATCTGATTTCGACATCTTCTTTTCAGGATTGCGCAGGGATCTTATACGGGCTGAACCATCTTCTAAAACTATACTTTTTATCCTGGGGAAAAACTCAGTTCCGAAACGATGATTGAAAACGCGAGCCATATGTTGGGCGAAGTACACATTCTGCAGATTATCTTCCCCTACAGGGACATCCGTGGCTTTGTAAAGAAGAATATCTGCGCTTTGCAAAACTGGATAAACATACAAGCCCAGCGGGACATCCCGGATTTTCTCTGATTTTTCCTTGAACTGCGGCAACTGACTCAATCGGGGTAACGTGGCCAGACACCCCAGTACCCAACTTAAGGAAGTGTGCTCACCAACATCTGATTGACGGAACAGGATACATTTTGCGGGGTCTATGCCACAAGCAATAAGACTTGCAGCCATGGATTCGACCCCGTTTCGCAGCTCTGCGGGATTCTGCGGTAGAGTTATGGCATGAAGATCAACGATGCTGAAAATCGGTTTGGCACGACTATCATCATCAATAAATGTTTTCCACTGCTTGACAGCGCCGAAGTAGTTTCCCAGATGAACTAAGCCGGTTGGCTGTATCCCGGAAAATATTCTTCGCACAATCATCGCTGTCGTTGAAGATAATTCATTCCGTCAACACATGAACTCATACGATCGACAACAGCTCGAGGCAGTGGAACTCATCATGAACTCACTTCAATTTTGACCCTAATTCATTGAGTCACCTTCGTTCCTTCACCATATAATCCAGAAATGTAATGAGCCACGGTAATTTTTGAAGCCAACACTAAGAACTCAACACTGTCCCGTAAAACTCTTGGTGCAGACGTCTCATTCCAACGGTAGTAGTCCACATCCACAGCTATTCTGTTCAAGCATTACCACGTAAGGGTACACTTCGATACTGCCTTCAACTTCATGAGAAATGAAGTTAGTCGTTTGGTTAACTGCGAAATACTGTACGCTGAACAGTGGATTAGCTAGTTCAGCCGCACTTCACTAAAAGATGCAATACTAGACGATTCCTCGGGGTTTCCCATCTATTTCTTTCACACCGATTCAATTTTGCCTTGCAGCTCCTCCGTACAGCGCACAGCCGGGTACGGCAGGTGAGCGCACATTCCTTGTAGCATATACGAATAGTGAACATGGGTGTCGCTACCGATCAAACAGCATTGCTGCTGGTGGGGGCGTTTTTATTGCGAAATTTTGTTGTAGAAAAGCCGTGTAAAAAAATAATCATGATAACCCTGTAGTGGGACTATAGACAAATACAGTACAGTATTTGTAATGCAGAAAAAGTTGTTGTAGATCATGGTAGAGACTAGATGAGAAGGTCCACCCTCGTACTGTATAATGTATTTTGAGCTCATCCATTTCAACAAACAAAAGAAACTCACCAGCAAACGACCACGGATTCAAATTTTAAAAAGATCTCTCCAATCCAATCTTATCCAAAATATTTTATTTTCCACCGTGTATTTTACTATACATATAGTAAAGTTTCGTAGTAAAGTATTTATACTGCTGCTTTAGTACAGTGAATGCAATACTGCAGTACAATACAACAAGAAATTCCTGTTGCGTAGCCCAAAAAAGAGCTTTCCTGCTGGGTGCTCATGAGCATCAAAATGAGCTGAGGAAGAACATGAAGAAGGCATTTCGGAATATACACAAATTTGACTCCATTAAACAAAATATACAGCAGTATATACATGCAGTCACTCATCAAGTAGGAATATTTTTGGAAGCTTTTTGTGTGTAGGTTTTGCTTCCCTTTTGTGGTGGTTTCCATTTTTACCAAGAATGACAATGCTGTACAGTACTGTAATACGAGGGCTACGATTTCGGCGAAAATTTGTTTCCTTGATTACCCTATAATTCTGCTGTATCCGAATTTATTACGTTCCCGAAAGACAGAGCGGTCGGCCGAGACCGTATGATTATAAATATAAGTGAGCCTGGAAAAATCTTCATCAAATTACGAAGCTTGCATACACGCCTTCAAACAGGATTGCACGAAAAATAAACTTTCGGACCGTCGTTAAAATGAGTTGTTGACCCTAAATGGGAAGGTCGTTCTGCGTCTGTGATCATCCCCGCAAGCGACGCACGGACAATCCGGAGCATCGTGACCGAAACCCGTGCATGAACCACGACCACGGTCATGTATGACATGCAGATAGCAGGCTTCGACAGAATTCCGATGGTACTTCGGAGTACTTCCTTCATGTTACGTGACGTGCTTATTGTTGTCCGTATACGTATTATAAATATACGCGGACCGGCTTTCCGAAATCCGCGGTTAAATTCGAGGGTCACGCGAACCGCCGAAGCTCTCAAGTTCAAGTCCGGGACATCATCATTCCGCAGCAGCAAGGGCTTTCAAAAAGTGAGAGAAATTCTCGAGGATAACACTGGTTGAATTTAAATTAAAACCTTAGCTGGCATGTACGATATACTGCCATGTAAATTATCTAGCATGAATTCTAAATTTTACATTGAGGATACAGTATTGCTTTCAAAATTTTCATCGAAATATATAAGCCATGCTGCTTGGGTTTTAATAACTACCGTATTTATACATCAAGAAAGCTGTGGACATATTTTGCACGGGAAAATTTTGGTAAAATTGTATCCCAAACAAAAGGCGCACACCCAGTATCAGATGATCAATCAATAATAAAATTCACAATGCATACATATCTCACTTTTGCATGAAATAAAATGAGAAAATACTGCATATAAAACAAAGCCAAAAAAGAATAATTCAACTTTCTTGCTGAGCTTGAAAATTTTTCAACCTGTAGTTTTTTGATATTTCTTAATCCCATCATCTTTGCGCGGTATATAGGAAGACTTGTGCTAGTTTGTTGCTTTTTGACTCCTTTTCATGCCAGAAGAGCAGATGATGTGTTGTTTTCTTATTCTGCAGTGTTATTTTTTGTATCTTGAAACTGAACAAATTATTTTATTCAATTCCGGGTGACTTTTCCCCAATTTTTTGATCAACGAGGAAACTAATTAAAGATATCCCCATTGATGTGTGTATAAGGGAAACTGTGATCCGATATGCGGATGACATTCCAACATAAGGACAAGGTCCAAGCACCAATTGTGTCCACATCTCGGGGCCACACTGTAAACCTAAAAATTAATCATATCTGGAAGTTAATATTGCACCGATGAGCTTGAAATTTTGAAATTTTTTGCAAAAATAGTGAGTCGCGGAAAACGACGAAACTTATTGCCCAGCCCAATTCCAAGCAAACTGCCGAAGGGGTTAAAAAAAGGGAAGAAAAAAAACTTAAAAACGTGCAGTAATCTCATGCAACGACGGAAACAGTGAATTTTCCTTCGCCGTTACGGCGTATCCAACAAATTATCGGGGCGTGATGGTCAACAATTTTCTCAAAGCCCGCAGATATTCATTCGTGACTCCGAAAGGAATATCGTGTTCCTGACCTAAGAAGTCCATTGGTCTCGGCAAACCCGTTTTGGCAAAAAGAAAAGAAAAACATCAAGTGAAGTGTGCTGTATCGGGATGTAAAAACTCGATGTCATTATACGCGGTTTTCAGCATCTTGAGAACTGCTGCTCCGCCAATTTCTCTCAGCATCCCGTTTTGGCAGAAAGAAAAGAAAAACATCAAGTGAAGTGTGCTGTATCGGGATGTAAAAACTCGATGTCATTATACGCGGTTTTCAGCATCTTGAGAACTGCTGCTCCGCCAATTTCTCTCAGCAACCCACGAATCGTTCCCAATGAGAGCCTTTGTACAGAATTTCACGACTCTTCGCACAAGAAATGACATGTGATTGTAAAATTTCTCGAAACACCTCGGAATGGGTTAACCGCTATTCTGCTGCATGCATCTTATTCGCAGTTCCTTCTGAGGCACAGAAATTTGCGGAAAAGAATCATGGCATGAAGCACAAAACATGATCTTTGGACGGTATTGAGAAAAATTGGCAAGGCGGTGGTTAAAAAATCAAAACAGAAAATCATTTCTCTTCGAAACGGTTCGTGCTGTAAAAACATTTCTTTGTGCAATAGTACAGTATGCCAGTTCTAAAATTTATGAATCCAGCTTCGTTGGAATAAAATTGTGCAAAATCTTCATTTCCGCTTCTAAATTAATTAATTTTTAAAAGAATATACACCGAATAAAAAGGGTTGACGTGGAGCTTGATTTTCCGAAAATATTTACATAAAGGGAAAAATTTTGAGTCGATCTGCGGTGGATTTTCAAAAATGCGAATGAAGAGTTCAAAGGTGTTCAGCGTGCAAAAAATTTTCACTAGACTGCTGGCGAATTTTAAGAAGAGTCTTAATTTTCAAAGTGCATTATCCCGTTTTGGCAAAAAGAAAAGAAAAACATCAAGTGAAGTGTGCTGTATCGGGATGTAAAAACTCGATGTCATTATACGCGGTTTTCAGCATCTTGAGAACTGCTGCTCCGCCAATTTCTCTCAGCACCCCACGAATCGTTCCCAATGAGAGCCTTTGTACAGAATTTCACGACTCTTCGCACAAGAAATGACATGTGATTGTAAAATTTCTCGAAACGCCTCGGAATGGGTTAACCGCTATTCTGCTGCATGCATCTTATTCGCATTTTCTTCTGAGGCACAGAAATTTGCGGAGAAGAATCATGGCATGAAGCACAAAACATGATCTTTGGACGGTATTGAGAAAAATTGGCAAGGTGGTAAAAAATCAAAACAGAAAATCATTTCTCTTCGAAACGGTTGGTGCTGTGAAAACATTTCTTTGTGCAATACCACAGCATGCCAGTTCTAAAATTTATGAATCCGCAGCTTCGTTGGAATACAATTTTGCAAAATCTTCATTTCCGCTTCTAAATTAATTAATTTTCTAAAAGAATATACACCGAATAAAAAGGGTTGACGTGGAGCTTGATTTTCCGAAAATATTTACATACCGTAAATGGAAAATAAAACTCAGCTAGACGCCACCTAAAAGTTTTTACGCTTACTTCTCAAGTTTCCACAAGTCGCACGTTTTTTAAAAGTGATCTGACGACCGCTTAAAATTCTTCTCAGAATTAAAAGTTTCACGTAATCAGTATCTTCAATTTTTTAAATAATTTATATTCTGTTGGATTGAACGCAATTCGGCTTCTTCTGGTAAGCTACAGAAAAACAAGACAAAAACAATTGAATCTTTGGTTCCCAAATGGTTTAAGCTAATTTATATCTTGCTTAAAACTGACATTGATTGAAGGTAACGTAGTCCTTTTTAAAAATAAATCAAACGTTTAATAATATATCTTAGTAATACGAATTATAGTATATCCTGCAAATAAATTTTATGAGGGAAAACGAAACGGCCTTTCGAATTCTATAGCAAGAAAGATGCCGAGTGCCTATTTACAAAATTCCTAAAAGAAAAAAACAATTTGCCGTTTAAGATCGCAAACACTACAGCTTGAGAATAATCCCAATGCTGGCGTCAAAATGAAGCAAAAAATTTCCGTGCATACGGTACACGCATTAAAAATTTTGCTCGATTATTACCGTTTGCTTTAAACAAATTCGCTACTCAATTCGAAGAAAAACCAAAAACCCGAATAAAACAAGGTCCCGAGATTGAAACCATGCATTTTCTTGCAATATATTCCCGTCTATATGTTACAGGTACATTCTAAAATAAGTCGTATTATAAGGTGGTTGAGTAATAACGTACGTAAGTAAGGTTTATATGTTGTGTATTGTAGTCAAATTGGTGTATATGACTTGGCTTGTTGCCTCGTATGAGCAGGCAACGCATTTAATGGTCTCATTTTCAGCATTATTGAGGGCAGAACGACTAACAAGAATACATTTCGAATAATTTCGATGTCGGGGGAAACTCGCAGCATTCGTTTTTCGGGATTGAATCCACCGAAAGCGGCGTTAAGTGTTCGAAAACAATGTTAGGAAAAAGAAAAGAAAAATCAAGAAAAACTGATTTCCTGAGGAAATATTGAGGGAAAAAAAATCCTCTAGCTTGTATTAAATTGAATCCAAGTTCTTCAACCCATCTTCCTTCTGGGAATCAAAATGCGGTTTCTCGCAGGGCCGCACAGTATCGTTGTAGGCAACCGTCCTGAATTAGCCCAAGGTCGTCTCCTACTGTGTAAGCTGTTATTTTGACGCGACAACCACGACTGGCCTCACCCACACTTTCCCAAGCTAGACTGAAGTACACTGGTCTCCCCGAAACCTCGGGCCTCGCGAGTGGGTCCAGTGGGTCCAGGATTACCCATTCCTCCACCGTCGAACCCGGGCTCGTAGCCGGGTTCGTAGAAACCCCCGGGGCCGGATGGGCCTGGTGCAGGGCCGTAGTAGTTGGGCCCGTAATTCGCGTTACCGTAACTGAATGAACGACGAGTGGGACAATACATCAAAAAAGTTGAAAAGAAATTTACCTATATTATTTTCAGCTCTTTCTTTTAAAGATATATTCTCAAGACCTGGTGTCCCTGATGATTGATTCCTCGCTAAATGGACAATTTGAGGGGGAAAATACAACGAATCTGACAGAAAATAAGAACAACCAAGGATTTCCTTCGACGAGAAAGTCCCATTCCTTTCTTTATTTTCCAAACGCTAAAAAGTCACCGATTTATTTTCTGATTCTGATTCTGATGCTCTGATTTATTTTCTGGTCAGAGAAAATAATGCCTTTAGCAGAACTTTTTTACATTTATAGACAAACTCACTTCTAGCTAACATATATCATGCACAACAAAAACTCAACTGAATAAGATGCTTCAAATTTTAGTGTGACAAAGTACCTATATGCTGTGAATGCTGGGAAGAAGGTTCAAGAATAGCACAAAGAAAATAAAACTTTCAGCAAAAATATTTAAAATTACAGATCATCCATTCCTCCGTAATAAGTAAGAAATAATCTCAAACATCACATAACCGAAATGTTCGTCTCGATTCGTCATTTGGTATTCAAATCACAGATTAGAAATGAAAATATTGGAGGACATTGGAAACAGAAAAGGTTACCCGTCGTCAGACGTGGAGTAGCCCAAGATGTAGCCAAGAATTGCCCCCAGTCCAGCACCTGGCCAAAACCCTGGCCCGGGATCGTAGTCGTTCGGCCGACCTCCGCCAGGTGGCATATTCCTCCTCGACACTGATCTTCCTGACCTGAAATCAGAAAAATTCGCACGCCTCCGTAAATCTCTAAGGAATTAATCGACCTTGTTTCACTTGGAGCAGCGGCTGAAAATTGAAGAATCTATGCTGCAGATGTAATAAAATATCCTTATCTTACTTACTTTAATCGTCAGATCTCTCCAAGCCGAAGTTCAAAGGACTAGCAAAAAATCCGACTTACAGAGGTTTTGAGTTAGGCAAACAAGCATTTTTGATCGTGGTAAATGTAGAAGAATTTGCAGGAAATTTAAAATGGTGATATTGAGGGCCTTAAATTTCTTCTTATTATAGATGGGTTGACAGGATGCTGAACTTGGAGGCATGCAGGGGTTCATTTGCCCAATTAATCTTTCACTTCGTCATTTTTCTTTGTTTTTTTCTCTTTCCTGTGCCAAAAAATAGCAGACAAAATGATTTTAAGAAAATTGGAGAAACGGAGGTTAATAAGAAAAGGCTTAGAGTTAGGGAGGTTTTTAATGCATTGTTGCTATAAGGGAATTCAGATGGGAACTTTAAAAAATTGACTTAAGGAGATTTGAGTTATTGCGGTTCAACAGTAATTTTAATTTTCTACAAGAACGTAAATACATTCAATGTAAAAGCGGAGACATTTCATACTACATAGCTTGTCTTGAATAATTAATGACGTGCAAAAACTCACCTGCGGTTTCCACCTGAAGAGAACAGGTAGCTCAGGACCCGGAAAATGATATACAACACAAGTAAGTAAAACAAAATGTCTCGCCAGGTCATCTGTTGATAGTCATAATAGTTGGAACCCCATCTTCCTCCGCCATATGGGTACCTCCCATAACCACCTTGACCTCCACCATAACCGCCACCATAGCCTCCACCATAGCCGCCACCAGTTGGGCGGACACCAGTTGCAACTAGGGTGAACTGAACCTGTTGAACGTTTATTATTTTTTTAAATAATTTTTGTTAGATAATTGTCTAAGGGATACTAAGGTATCCAGAATAAAAAATTTCTGCAATACTCAATGTAATCTGCTGTTTTGCGAAAGGTTATGTATATTTCTCGTGGTTTCTCAAAAAAAAGACGCTGTCAAACTTGAATTCAACACAAATCCTCGAAGTTTTTCAGGATTTCTTCTCTTGAATGCATGGGAAAATCTAAAAAACAAAAACAAGTAAGAGGACTATCGAGGAATAAATATTGAAATATGGTCGAATATTTACTCTCAAAGAGACCCAAGAAAAATGCATTAAAAAGTTTACGAACCACGAATAAAAAGTCAATTACTGTAAGTTCCAAGGTTTCGAATGATTCTTCTCGTCAATGTCACAGCAATCTCTTTTTTTTTCATCTTCAATGCAAGAAAAACTACATCAGGGGAGGCAAAGCGTAAGATGTAAAAGAAAAACACCCTTTTCGAATGTTCGCGGTTGACATCATAAAAAAATAAATAAAAATAAATCTAATTTTAATCGACGCCTTTCGTAACGTCCGACTTTGGTGTTTTAAATTAATTTTTATACCTGATATTTACATTCGCGAAGACAGCGTCGATCTGAGGAAGTTTCCATTCCATTTACCACTTCTTATATCAAATCATCGACGGCGAAAAAAAAAAAACAAGAATCACGAGTTCATCTCTCTTGAAAGAGTCTGAGTTCTTTGCTCATCGCCAAAAATCCTGAATTCGTTGGGTAAAATATTTGAAATTCCATCATCATCGGATTCTCGTTGAATAAGTCGTGGCAAAATTTTGAAGGGTCATTTTTAGAACGACTACTGCACCTATATAATTTGAGCATTGTCCAGCAGAAGCTACTTCCAGGATATTTAATGTTAATGTATTTTGAAATCGACGAATGATCACAGGATACTTCCATGGGAGAATTGGTCTACTTTTTGGCCCATAAATGCATATCCATTCCCCATTTTTGAATGTCATCAATCAAATTCTTGATGACCCAAAGGAGCGATTAGAATATCCGCTACTCCGGGATTGTCTGGCTCTATTGTCAAAGAGCACGAGCGCAGAACGAGGATTCATTTTTTCCTTCGCCACGTGCGCAAACAAAATACGAAACAAGGAATATAGTTCGTGACAGTTTCTCATTCTGCTTCAAAATCCTGAGCAGCAGCAATTATTTGCTCATAAATTTATATAAAAAGCCGCTAATTTGCGTCGGCGAACGCAGATAACCCCGAAATGACTGCGGCTCAAAGAGCGACCTCACCGCGAGGTAATTTGGCCGAAACCCAGCATCGGGTCATTCAATGATCTCCTCTCGCACTCAGCACAGAAATTGCACAGTTTGGGTAAAGCTCAATTCATTATTAAAGGCACCTCGTCAGATAAATTATGCTTTCTTTTTTTCTTTTTTTTTTTAAACCCCAGCTTAATCACAGACATTGGAGCCGAAAAACTCCGGAACGAGGCGGTTGAACCCGGCGATTTTCGGGGTTAATAGGGCGAGTGTAATTGCACAAGTACTTCACTAAGTACGCAGTTGGACTCGACTCTGGAAATTACGCCGAGATTTGCATCACGCCCGGGTGTGTGAAACCATGTTATTTGGTATTCATTTCAGGGGATTTATTTCATCAAGGGGCTTGGCGAAACATTAAACGGATCATTACTTTTCGTCTGTCATGAAATGCGCCAAATACTGGACTTTTCGATCCTGAAGTATGCAAATAATTCGTCAGTTACGATAGCTTAAATTCTTCGAAAATTTCGTGCATGGTTAGTTAAAAAAACTTAAAACGAAATACAGATAAATAATTCTCAGCATGACTTTCAAAAATGCCGGTCCCTCCGATTTCTACGCGAGTTTTCTCCAACAATTTTCAAGAAGATGGTTAATTGTTCATTTCACCCGTCCCAAAATATAACATTTCATCACATTCCAGAAGTTTTCCATTGATGGCTCATTATATTTCAAAGAAAACTGGCCCTCCAAGTTCAACACAAGGTATCCCGTTCATTTGTTTCCTAATTATTCAACAACAAAAAATTCCCGCATTCCGGATCCATGAGCCTTGCTTCGACACCAGTGCTTGAATCAATACGATTAAAAAAAAACTTTATCGACCAAAAACAGCATTCATTGCAGACGGATCATTGCCTGAAAATATTTTTGGCTTTTATCATGGAAGTAATAAATTCATATTTAAAATTAAATAACTAATCTATAAAAATAAAATTTATCACTGCATTTTTTTCTGCCAAATTATCAGAGCTGTGAATTATTTATACATTTCCTACTTGTAGTTGTAGTAAGATGCCTACTCCCTTCTTGTGGAGAGCACAAAGAGAATAACGTTCAGCAGCTTTTTTGAGCAAATTTCTAAAAAATAACCCGACATTTTCATGATAAAAACGACTCAAAAATTCGAACAGTGGAGGCATGATTAGAAAAGTTCGAATTCGGGACGCTTAGATTGCATTGACTTTGAGGGAATTGCTGGCCAGTGATTGAATGGGATTTCAAATTGCATGAGGGGGTTTTTGATTTGGCAATGCCCAAGACTATATAGTTTTCGAGGCCCCTCGCCAATAATTAGCGAAACCCCTGGGCATCATCGGACACTCACCCCACAGGAACCCGCCAGGATGTACTCGTCGCCAGCGTAGTCGTAGCCCTCGCAGATGACATGCAAATTGCCAAACCGCACTCGCTCGTCCATGTCAGCCCTACATTCCCAGTTGACAGTCTTGCCATCGAACCCGCGGTTGTAGCACTGCAGTGCAGCAGGCGAGAGTTCGCAGGGGCCGCCCTTGCACTGCACCTGCGGGAGGGGCCGCAGACGCCGCGCCGTCGTCATGCGACCCGCGTACGCGGTGAAACTTTGCATCGAGCGCAGGTACACTCGATCCCGGCTACCTGCGGAAATTTCTCCCTTTGCCTGTTCAGCTTTCAATTTGAAGTCGAAATTCCTGCTTTTGTTGCATGGTTAAGAGTACGTCGGGTTTCAGGTACAGTTTTTGTCTCGACTATATAGTTTACACGTGCTGCTCAGAACGCAGCAGGGAATATATTAGGGCTGAGTTCCCCGCTGATCGGGAGTTTCTCAGCTCGGTTTCCATAGGATTTACCGGCTCTCGCCTGAATATTTTTATGCAGTATAGATGTCGCCGCTTACACTGAATTACTGTACAGTACAGTGATGCTTCAAAATACGGACACCCCACCAATAACGCGCATGGACAATATTTGTCTTGATATGACACTCGAAAGTTTAAAAGATAATCTGGCCCAACATCTGGACACTATCTCAACATATGGACACCTTTTTCAACATTTATAGAAAAATGGGAAATTTTTATTTCTCAATATTTTGATGCATCTTGAACAAATAATAAGTGAGATACTGTTTTTATATTCACAGTACACGCGTATAGTTAAAAAGGAAGTTTGTAACATATTTAGTCAAATTTATAATCATAACAGCAAGTTAATTTTGTGTCTCGTTTTGGAGTATCTCGTTAGTCACTGTCGACAAAATTTAGCAAATGCACTTGGATCGAAACTTTTGTCTATTCTCAATTTAATTCAGAAGAAATTAACTCGAAAGGTCATCATGATAGTGACGTTATAACTAATGGCAGATGTGAAAAAACCAGGCTTATATGATACAACGCATTATATAAATCCATAAGTTACATAAATTGAAGTTTCCCGCTTTCACCAAAAACATATTTAAAAAATATTCATTTATACTTTTCGGGGCATGCAACAAGTGATTCGAGATTTTAAAAAATAAATTATGCAGAAATAATGAACTAAACCGAACGCAGAGACTATTGAAGGGTTATTATAATTAGCACACGCATACGATGTGCGATATAATAACCAACTATCAGAAAAATTAACAATTCACAATACAGTGCCCTTCCATCAAAAAATCCCGAAAATTACCGAACATCCAGGGGAAAGCTCGAAAAACCGGATTTCCGGAAGCGTTGACGAGCGGCTGATCCTCCCATCCATCTTTACCACTCCGTTCCGCTGGACAACATTTCCAGGGTGGACACACCGCCCCCGACACCATTGTTAGGATCAGGGTAAGGATTAAAAACCATCGATAAAAAGTTAATAAGTCATTTTAGGACGCAGATTTCATTTCATTGTCTTTGGGGTTCGCATGTTTGCCGAAAATTTGCGAAGCGATCGCGTGGACCTTGCATTCTTCGAAAAATGTGTGTGTACTGCATATTAGAAAATTATAATAAGCAAGCATTTCTGACTAAATATGATATATAAACTCACTTCGTCAGTCAATCTGTACTAGATCTAAGCGAACATGAAACTATTGCTGTTTCATATCGGTTGCCAGTCTTCAGTATTTCGTGACAGTGGAATAGTTAATGGATTGAGATGAACATGAATTTAAACTGCATCTCATTATTATGTGCTGATGAATCTTCGAACTTCTTGCTCAGCTCAGGGATGAGATTCTGAAGAAAAGTGATTTTTGTAAGAGCGTAATTTCGTCGTGAGAAAAAGAAGTTTTCTGTACTTGTTTGAGTTGCATTTTGATGAATTCGCAGGCAGTTCCCAGCACTTCCACTCTGATGTTTAAAATTGAAACAATTCAATAAAAATTTGGTCATTTCTTGTGCTTAAGTATATTTTTAATAAGGTGTTAGCTATTATTCACATCAATGAATGCTTTCTTGAGAAAGCTTTCCGTCCGAGTGGTCTGACTGATATGAAGAAAAATCCTGTGAAGTGCTGCATGGAAGAAAAATCACACGTAACTTATAGCCTGACTGCAAAGTATTATAGCTTTACCCTGAAATCCCCGAATCTAACTATATAATAACTTGGTACACCTAACACTGAAAACAGTACAGGACTGAACATGCCCAATACTGCCTAACTAAATGTCCTGAACAAACCTGACTGACATATACAAGTATGCAGTCACACTAAAAATGCGCTAATCTAACCAAGCCTAACTACCGGACATAATCTAAATTTTCAAGTTCTGCCAATTCGAAACCTCTCCAGGTCTCTTGTGAATTTTCTTATTTGGTTTGTTTCCTAATCATTCAAGAATTGTGTACTTCGAATGCGCACCCGAACGAATCACCGCCTAAGCCCACAGAGGAAAGGAAGGAAAAAGGTATAAAGCACCGTGACCGATTCCTGGCCGAAGGAAAAAACTCGACACGCGAGGCTCGGCTTCTCGTTTGTCCGAGCATGACGAATTGCAGCTCTTGTGCAAAGGCTTCTTGTCATCCCTCCTGTTCATCTTCCAGGACTTTTTGCCTTCTTCGTCTTCTTCTTATTCTTTTTCATTTTTCTTCCCGCGAGCATTTCATCCTTGCTTTCTGCTGTTATTTGATCAGCGAGCGCGAGGACTTGAAACCTTCCGCACTTTTCCTTGCTTGTATTTTCAACCGCTGAAGTCAGCCGCTCGGAACGAGATTATTGTTCAAGTTCATGGTCGTCTGTCTAGCTGGTGATGATGATCATAATAATAATGGTTTGTCAGCGACTGGAGCGAGAATTACCGAACTCGGGGTGATTATTTCGCGACAGATAGGCTATGAGATAATGTTTCAGTAATTGCGCTTTCCGTGCATGGACTTTGATAAGTTAGGCAGAATTTAGGATTTATATATCTGGGACGGATCCGGACTGGCTCAGCAAGCTATATAACTGTACTGTAATCGTCTTTTTTAAATGCGTTTTCTTGAGTAAAACAGCAGCTCAGTAAACGAAATTGTGGTGCTGTGATGAGGTACGCGGTCACGTCATAATGAAGGCCAGTTGTATTGTATACCAATGAATGCAATGATCACATCATTCGTTGTCCCACGTTGGATCACAAAGTACTTTAGTTTCATGATTCCCTTCGAGTATATTTAATGGACGATGGGGATTAACATATTTTTTAAGGAATACTATTTCCGGTACCCATTTTCTGATTCAATTTACCACCCGATTGAAACGAAGGTGGGAAGTCTTGTCTGATAAGCATTTTAATTCATTTAAATTTTGTGAAATTTTTTTTGGGAATAGAATGCTATGCTACATGACGGATCTGACAACCCTGCGTGATTGAAGAAATGATAGTTCTGATCTTTGTACAGTATTTCTTATGTCGGCTTCGCTGAATGTGAAGTTCGACTTGAAATTTCAATTGGTGTAGCAGGAATATCCTCTCGAAAGATATTGCAATTTGACGAATTCATTTTCCAATTTATTTGCAGTTGAACCTCTTCAAGTCGAACTTTAATGGAACAAGCGAAAATTGGACAAAGGGAAGTTTCGATTAAAGGAAACAAGCATGTTTGCTGGCGGGAAATGAAGGAAAAATTACAGAAAATTGTAATAGCAGGTGATACTCAGGGCTTTAAATTGCTTCTAAAAATGTTTGACATGATGCTGGACTTGAATGCAAGGGTTCATCTCCCCTAATAGTCTTTCACTTTAAAATTAAATCAAATCACTTTCCTTGCTTTTCTCTTTTTCGTGCCTCGCTATAAAAGAATTTCCAAGATTAGGCCTCCCTAAAATTCGAGTCATATACGGAGGTTTTGAATTAAGGAGAAAGGGGTGCTCAACCACTTCAATACTTACGTAACAAACACTCCTTTAAGACTGTCCCTGAAATTTTTAAACTGTGCCCGTATAAACCGAGTCCCTCTAAGTTATTCTTCATAGATATCAAAAAAGTTAGATCTGGATTTACTATAATGGAGCTCACGTACACATCAGGGTGATCCATGGAGCACATGTAGAAAACACGTGCCTTTTATGGTGGCTTAGTTCTTGATGAAGCATTTATTGAAGCCCGCGGAAAGTTTCCCAGAATTTTCAGAACACCCCTGGTCACGCAAGTCATCAGCATTTCAAAATTTCCTCGCGTCTGAAGTCAATCTCTGCTGCTAACAAAGAACCAGCGTATAGCAAAAAATAACTGCCAACAGGACTCTGCTGCCGGAGCGTCTCGTTTTATACGATCGTTCATCTATAATGTCCGAAAACCGACACCGGGAATAAATCAGAAGTAGCGGGTATGTGCAAGAAGCTGCTGGAGATGGGAGCAGCCAAAAAGGTGGAACCGGAAGAATAAGGAAGAGCTTCTCTCGTCGGGCCCAACCCGGAACTTGGTTATTATCCATATACATTCATTTCAAGACGCGGGTTCGTTACTCCTTCTCTCTCTCTCTCCTCTTACTTTTCCCCACTCCTATTTGCCCCAAGGGATTTTTTTGCGGTTTTATTTTAATCAAGATCTCAAACTGTGGAGCGATACGCAAATATCCTTCATAAATCTGCCGACAACGTTGGGCCGAGGATATGAACAACTTGAGCACGCTGTTTAAATTGGAAAGTATACTGCCATTTTAGTCTGGACATGTAAAACTGAATTAAGCATGTGGTCAAAATATGAGTTCCTGATATGAAACTAAGAAAAAGGATGCGGAGGTGGACTTTTTATTTCACAATATATTGCATGCACCTGCAAATGAAATATAGTATACGTTTGAATTAATGTCGCTGTGTTCATACTTTTCCTTTCAGAAGGAGCTTAGAAAAGAGCAGCTGGTGTTTTTTGTTGTTGAACAGTTCGAAGAATAAGTTTCAATAAGACATTATTGACTGATGGACGAAATTCATATCCAGGACAGAAGTATAACATATGACTGAAAAAAATGAATGAATAGGAGTAAAGAAATGCTCAAAAATTTCACCTGGGAAACTGTGCTGACTGCATGTAAGATTTTATGAGAATCTTTTAAACGTATGGGATTATTTTAAAGCTTTTTTTTAATCTTCGCCAGTTTCATTGTCTTAATAACGTCCACCAGGGGTTTCGTCACCTATTTGCGAAATCCAGCTTGACTTCCTAAACAAAAATTTCGATATTTTTAAGTTCGTTTGTTAATTCTGTCAAAGTAACGAGCTTTCGATTCTGACGTTGAACATTATTTGTTGAAATCTGCTATAGATTTTGGTTCAATAAATTCCAGTGCTCGCTTTTACTAATTACTATGCATTGCCATAAAATTGGGGGTTTTTCCCGCGGAGAAAGGCATTTATTTATTCATTTTGTAAAAATATATATATGAAGGATGAAGTAGGCATCAAAATTGGCAACACTGTTGTAAAACAAATATCCAAAAATTACTTATTCCATATATCTTGAAAACGTGCATGGTTTATTTTCTTATCCAACTACAAATGTTTCAAATGTGTATAAATACGCTTTTTATTCCAATAAAATTTACTACAATGATTCCGCATGTGCCAGAAAAAAGAGCGATTCCATCGTCGGTGACTGTTGGAACCTCTTATTGTAGGCTAGTATTATAACAGGAGATGATCAACTCATCTTGAAACTTTCATTTTCTAGGGTGAAATGTTTGTGACGATGTTCAAGACATATACTGTACTGTACATATGATGAAAATACTTTTTCGAACCCGCTCTTCAACGAAGAAAAGACTATAAACGCTATTCCTTCACATTGCTGTGGAGTTGATGAGAAGCAAGGTCCAAATGTACTTCGACTGAAACGACGATTAGCTGATTGATGTCTCGCTCCTGTTATGGTTAGTATCTCAATAAACTTGGGCCAATCGCGGGTTCGATAATGGAACTCAATTCCGGTCTTGAGAGCCCATCTTGAGCTTTCGAAGGTCAGTTCAGGATGGATTTTTTCTCCCTCAACCGAACCATCAGCAGATTGGACCGTTTTTTTCTTTCTGACGCTTTATGAGTTGAATAAATTGTTCCGAAGTTGTAAATACATATATCAGGGGCTTCCTCTGAAAAAAAAAAGTAGTTTCCCAATTCGAGTAAACAGGTATACAGTAATTTTCGCACCGTAAAATTTATTTTTTCAACGATATGTGTGAAATATATCATGTATATATGGTATGAAGTACGGTATATTTTTTCCTTTGAACTTCTGCTTTCATTTGGTATTTTCAGACGCTTTGGAGCTCAATTTCATCATTTCCCCCGGATTGATGAGAGGCATTCTTAAAGTTCAGCATGATAAAACATCGTCGACGTTCTATCTTTCGTGATTCGTATACTGATGAAAGATTTTAGTGCGAGTATTAATAAATGGGCTTGACATTGTGACACATTATATTGGCTGAAAAGGTTTCAAAACATTCACAGTATTTCGAAGTTAAAAAATCATATTGGATGTCGCATGAAAATAATGAAGAAGTCAAAGTAGTGTGTGTATCCAAAACGAAAGCTCTG